AATATGTCTACTTTGGACCCATTTTGAGGAGTGTGCATGGAAAACAAATCACCAGGAATATATTTTTGTTATTGTAAATGAAGAAATATCACATTTGTGTGGCTTGCGATGACTTAATTTTATGATTTTGGCCCCGGTCTTGAAAAGTTTGGATATCCCTGATCACTATTCTTCACTGCATAACCTTTGATATGTGGAGCTCCTCTAAAATCTGTTCAGGGCCCAGTCTTATTAAATAATGTTGCCTCTAATCCCTTTCTTTCCAATGTTGAATTTCAAGTCCCAATGCTTTGCAGATGATGTTCAGATTTATTTACTAATACAAGAAAAAGCTAGTGGTTAGTTCAAATCTTCCCTGCAATGTTTACACAACATAAAGATGTAGCATTCGTGCCGCTATGCTTGGTAGTAATATTGCCACAATGCCACACTTGAATGCATATTACACCTTGGCTCAACAGAGGGTAGCGTCATGATCATGTAGGGAGGTACTGCCAAGCTCTGCAGGAAACTATGTTAAAAATGAAAGTTAACACGGGCAGTAAGTTTCACTTTTTTAACAGGATCACCTGAGATGATAAACTGGAGCAACGCAGAGTCCCAGGAGCTCCTCCTCGTTAGAGTTGGAGCTCAGATCACCTAGCCGTTCACAGAAACTGTGAGTGACAGCCACCTTTAGGAGCGGCAAGTGAAAGAAACTTAATGAGCGTGGCTTTGATCACAATAAAAAGCAAGTTATATCTAAGATAAATGGAAGTCTGTGGCAGCGCAGAAACTGCCCCATTACCCCTTTATATCGTCATTGCATAATCTTTTGTAAAAAGGACACATTACGGCCACGGTCTGAGCAATTATAGACGACCTAAGGCTCCCTGGTGCCGGCTCAGCGTTGTGGCAAAGTGGTGGAATCGTTTTAAAAAAAGAGGCTTCTGTTTGTTTTGCAACGTTGAAGTTTTATCTCCACAAATAACACAAGCCTAAATTGTTCTGCCATTTTGTGGAGTAGCTAATGCTAAACTTTCAGCATGCTCTGCTCTGGATGCTAAATCAACACAGCCTTTGCTGTGACCCATCATATTTCAACAAGTAAAAAACTGTTTCTCATGATCTTGGCTTTAAATCCAGCACAACTAATTTCTCGTATAAAAGTTTATACCAGTCTTCTCTTTACTGTCTACATTTTAGTTATACAAAGCACAAGTCTAATTTTAAAATTGTGTCATTGGTTTTCTGGTTCTTTAAAGAGCAAGTCACCCTCAAATCAACTTTATTTCCCAGATAAACTATATAAATGCATGTCTAATTGTTCTGCAGACATATGTAGTCAATAGTTTTGCACTTTAGTGCATTTTAGTTAAAATTTTTATTTTCTGCCTAAAACTGTCAGTGTTGTGCCGTTGTGCATTTGAATTTAAATCTGCCATCGCTATTGGCTAAGAGGTACCCTGGGACGTTAGCTGGTACCATACGATGTCACAATGTCGTTGTGAGCCTGTGTGCATGTGTATTTGTTAGCGGCTCCGCCCTCTCTGTCTGCTAGGCAACAGCATTTGTTGCATTTTTCAAACAGGAAGTGGGAGTGGAGTAATACTCTGGTAGGGGGTGACTTGTTCTTTAATAGTACCCATTCTTTACCTTATGCATCTTCACATCCCATCTCGAACATGGAAACAGTTAGATCGCTCCTAAGCAACTGCTGCCTCTGATATGATGTGATATGTACAATCTGCCTCAAGAGATTCATGGATTCAGGTTTTGACAGCTAATACCAGTGTTTGATTATTCTACAACTCTGACCTGCCACAGTGGATTTTTGCCAATTCTGTTTTTATTTTCATAAAAATATAGACAGAATACTTTTTAAGTCTCTAAATCACCTCAAAAACAATTGTTTTGGAATTGAAAACTTACATTTGATAGATCCGTTATTGCTAGTGTGATTTAGAAAAGGACCTCTGGAAGAGTAGTTGTCAAGTTTTTGATGACTAATGGGGATCCAAATAACAAACAAACACAATGCTATCAGGGTATCCCCCAGAAAATGAGTTAAGCCTGGCGGATTTGGTCGTTGGGGGGGGTGGGGGGGTTGCGCGCTCCGTCCCGCAGCGCTCCTCCGTGAGAGCGGGGGTGGGGGTGTTGCACACGTTCAGCTGCTGTTTCTCACCAGTATCAGCTGATGGAGGGCTCTAGTTTCGTTGCACCGTTCGTGTCAACGGACACTGTATTGTCGGGGAGGCAGGCGGGGCATGACGCTTAGCCTGGCGGGTGGCCAAGCAAAGCCTGGCGGGCCGCCAGGCTTATGAGTCCATGAACAGAGAAAAATATATATTTTAATGTTGTTTGGCAATGAAGCATTTACTAACAAAGACTTTTCTCACCGGTTGGTCACAGATAAAGCAGAGAGTAGCTTAGTAAGCCATCCTATATATGTGAAGATATGGTCTGACCACAACACAAGCCACGTTTACATGCGCATATTTAATCGGATAGAGGAAATTTGGCGCATGTAAATGTGGCTACAGACAGATATCAGTTGTGAGGTGGAATCTATGGTTGTCTTTCAAACTGTCTCCACACTTGGACAATCATGAATGTGACACTCACCGATATAGATATAAGTCAATGGGGCAGTCCCCCATGCAGTCAAAGAAGACGCAAATACATTTTTTTATAAATAAAATGACTTAAATACCTCCATCTGCTCTTGACTCAAAGAAAAGCCCAAGTCTAACTCACAATCGCTAATTCACACTAGCAAAAAACTAATTCTCCTTGTAGTTTTTACATCAAGAAATACAATTTTAAAATGGAAAATTGTACATTGCCTGCACTTGTGCTGTGCTTTTCCAAGTCAGAGGACTCCAAAGTGCTTTGCACTTACATTTATTATCAGGAATCTTTTGGTAAATACTGATCTTTAAGGTAAGTCAATGAGTAAGTCAGAGCTGTACAAGAATCAGAAATTGGTATTGGCCTTGAAAACTAGAATTTGTGCATCTCAAGTCTAAGGCTATTTATATAGCAGATTTCTCTCCAAATGTTTTCTATATTGTGCACTATTGGTTGATGATTTTGTAATAGAGGTTCAATTGATCTGTTACTAAATACTGAAGCCCTGCCTTACAAATTATGAAACCGAAGTTAAACTATATGTTTGAATGCTGGGCTGGATTTAGCACAAAAACACGCCACAACACACCCACTCCACACCATTGTTTGTACAGCACGTTGAGAACAAATGACATAACAATGATGTCAGAGGAGGACAGGTTGGTTTGCATCTGACAAAAATCCTGAGTGACGTTGTGACGACAGGATGTAAACAAATACACTTGTTTTAACGTACGTGTGAGCTCCTCAAAATATCATGCAAACGTAGTTTCTGCAACTCGTGCAAATATATATCGGCTGTTTAATCGGGTAAATATAGCGCGCACTGGTGAACATTGTAGGCTTTTTGTTTGCACTGCACCACCTTAGTAGACATGTGGAAACTGGGACCGTTGTTCTCTTTTCTCTCGCTTTCTCTAGTGACAATGTAAACAAACATGTCCACGGCGGTGAGACATTTGTTGCACGTTTTCCTCAGCACCTTCCCGAACGTTGTGAAAACCACCTCAGAACACATTCCCCCTCCATTAGGACGGCATCCCGCGTATTCCGAGGTCTTGCGCAAAAATTGTTGTCGAATTCCTATCAAAACAGGAAGCTGGTGTGGGTCCGAAACACAAGACAGGACCCCTCACTTCTCACCAGCCCTGTCAAAATGTCAAAACTAGCTGCTGTGGGGCCGAGAGGCAAACAAATCGGCTTTACCTGCTTTCCTCGGTAGAAGAGGCGCTGCTGCTGCGGGGTAACATGGAAAATTTCTTGTATTTTCAATCGTAAAGACTCAATTTTGGTCAGTCTGGAAAGATCCTCCACGGTTCGCGTCTCCTTCCCGTCTATGGTCCGAACCTGGATCCACATCGTCGCACCGTTCGGTTATGCTTCAAATAAACAGCTAATAAAACCGCTTCGCTTTGTTTCGACTATGTTTGTGAGCTCAAACAAGGACGATAACAACAAATTCAAGGGTCCATGGCGTTTTTCTCTGCAGAGGTAACGTCGGACTGCCTCGCGCAGGAGGTGTCTCACATGAGGTCGCGGCGCCAAGCAAATCTCGCGAAGAAACCAGAGACGTTAACGAGCTCGAAGCGCTCTTAAAGGCGCAGCTCTCATTTGAATGGTGAACCATGTGGGTTCATGTGTGTACTCGGAAAGTTCGGCTGTGGTCATTTTAACAACGGCGTCAAAGGTGTTTTCATTCGTTACTCAGAAGTATTGATACAATGTAAACATTGAAGTAAATTTTTGCTATTTACGAGAGTAAACAAGTACTTAAATAATACTAAAAGTAAAAAAAGCAATCAAAATTGCAGTACAACGTACCACACTACCACACCTCCACAAAAGCATTTTAAACTGAGACTCAATAGTTATATATCTACTTCAATCATCCCCTCTGCAGTAAGAGTGTATAACTTGTGGGTTTAACTGGTACTGGCATTATCCTGTTACACAGTAGCATCAATGCAATATTCAGTATGTGTTCAATACTTTTGCCATATCTGATGTACATAAGTATGTCTGTGTCCCTTATGCTGCATAGTTCCAGAAACACAAGTTTCCTTTTTATTCATTGTTTTTAGTGTTTGAAGGTTGCAATAATAGCTTACTGTCTTTGTGTGCTCTCTTTCTACAGTCACCAGTGTTTACCTGGAATCTCATTATGTGTCATCTTCCTTTTTTCTAAGTGTATGTGCTGCTGTAGTAAGTGAATTTCCCCACTGTGTGATCAATAAAGTCTATTCTATTCTATTTTATTAATAAACATATAATGCAATAAATGCAAGTATTAAACTCAAACTTGCACAAATGCTAAGGCGTAACAGACTATTGCACATTAGACTTACTTTTATTTGCACTGTGTAACTTTTTGGAGCCCCCCGTCCTTTTAGGCCAACTCTTAAGGTCTTCCCTGGCCATCCAAGAGACATAGTTCCTACAGCATGTCCTGGGTCTTCCTTTAGGTCTCCTCCCAGTTGGACATGCCCATAAAACCTCACCAGGAAGGCATCCAGGAGGAATCCTAATCAGAATCCTGGGCCACCTTAACTGGCTCCTCTCGATGTGGAGGAGCAGTGGATCTATTCCGGGCCCCTCCTGAATCACTGTGCTTCTCACTCTACTGTTGTACTGTAATGTTAGACTTTCATACTTGTATCCACGATCTTGTTCTTTCGGTCACTACCCAAAGCTTGTGACCATAGGTGAGGGTAGGAATGTAGATCGAGTGGTAAATCGAGAGCTTTGCCTTCCGGCACAGCTCTTTTTTCACCACAAAAGACCGGTACAACGCCCGCATCACTGCAGACACAGCACTGATCTACCTATTGATCTCGCGCTCCACCTTTGCCTCTTTCGTGAACAAGACCCGAGATACTTCAACTCCTCCATGTGGGGCAGGACCTCATCCCCGACTCAGAGAATAAAATAAAAATAAAGAGTAAATTATTGTAACTTCCTGTAATTTAAAAGAGAAAAAAGACTGTTATACCAGTGTTTCCATATCTTTGACTGGTAACGTATTGCATAGTGATGTGACGTTCATGAATGAATCAAGTCGAATGGGTTTTCAAAGTGAACGATGAGAGTCGAGTCCTTGTAGAGAACTGTTCATATTGTCATTCAGTTAGTCAGACTTCTATGCTGCTCGTTCTTGTATTTTGTATCTAATAACTTATGCACCTTATGGAGACTTTTTATGCCTATTTTGTATAATATCATTTTATGGAGCTGCTACCCCAACATTGTGTTGTACCAATGACAATAGAGGCTTTAATTTCAATTAAATTCAATTCAGTTCAGTTCATTTCGATTCAATTGTTGTTATGTAAATACTTGTTTGGGGTGTTACATCTCCCCGCCACCAGGCGGCAGCACATACTGCTGTAGCCAGCCCATGAGCCCATGACCAGTATGGGAAACCGCATGTTCTTACTAAACTAGCAAAGACCCAAAACCTGAATGGATTATTTTGTGATAGTGAAGATATCACAAACGCAAACACATTAAATAACAGATGGTAGATGTCAATAATTGTTATCCAATTGCAATCAAATTCACACTAGCCAGATGGCAAATTTATCTGGATGGGATTATTGTCTGTGTTGCTTTGACAATGACAAGCCAAGACAAAATTGAAGTAACAAGGCTATTTTTAGAATATAATGATTAGAAAGTACTGATAATTGCATGAAAATGTAAGAAATAGAAGTAAAAAGTTGACTAATAGGTAATTACTCCAGTGATAGGCTACCCAAAGTTTCTACAAATACTTCTTACAAAGTAATTATACAAATACTTTCTTACCTGATACCAGTTTTAACAGCGCATCATTGTCTTTTATTTTCATTGTTTATTTTTAGTGGTTCATGTGAGTCTGTAGAGTTTTATAGGTCAACCCGTGAAGTCTTTATGTTGTCAAAAATATGCATTTTAGCCTTGGAGCAACATTTTTTGCAACAAAATTAACAATTAAGAATGCAAATATTTCTTTTATCCACTATTCAATTAAGTAAACATGCAAAGTTTTACTGAAAAGAAAGAAAATCATAATTAAGGACAAGTAATGTGTCTTCATTCAAACTAATTAAAGGGTCCCATACATAAGCCTACAAATAAAATAATTCAATTCCTTGTATTTGTTGTGTACAAGTCTGTCAGGCAAGTCAGAGCGAGTTTGCAGTCATGTTTACTATGACGCTAAAATAAAAGGAAAATACAGATGTGCAAATTCTTTGCTTTGTTTATTTGGCCTTACATTAGTGAAAATGTTCACTTTTAAAGTATCCATCGCATCAACCACCTGTGCAGGGGAGTCAGCTCTATAGTGTTGTTGAATTTGGGGCAAACAAAATCCCTTTAGGGGCCAGTGTTTCCCCTAGAAAATTGTCCAGCTGTGAGACGGAGGTGATGGGACGTGGGATGTTTAGCTTCGTTTGTATTTTTCTTGTAAGCTGAAATAGTGCTAAACTGTGTACAAGAACCAACCAAAGATTTTTCAGCTTGGATGTGAAGTGGAACTGCTTGGGCAACACCTAGAGTAACATAACAACATAACAAGGTAAGAGTTGGACTGGAACACAGGGCATGAGAAAAGCTGGATGGCCGAAGCTGACCTGGAGAAGCTCAAATAAAGAAGGGTATGTAGAAATGACTTCATAATTCAGGATAGTAAATATTGTTGATTTGCTACTTCCACATCAATTAAAACATACATTTACACAGGATGTGATTTGCCTGTTGCTTTGGGCAGCTGAAGGGGCCCACTGGGCACAGGGCCAAGAGCCTAAAGGGTCAATAAGCCCTTGGTCTAATCCCTGGATCATCACATGCACCAGTCAACTGGAATGGGTTTTTCAATATCCAGTAGAAACACACAGAGGGCAAATTGTCAAAAACACCCATATAAAATAAATCACTCCAAATGTGGGACCCATGAGAAACAACACAGTGGGTTACTTCATCAGGTTCTCTGTCCCATAACCAGGATAAGAAGGCTACAAATACTGAATATAGTGAAGTTGTACATTTATTTGTCCTGGTACGGGCACCACTGATGTCTTCACACTCTGCCTGTCGTCATCGGGACACTCGGGGCAGTAACTCCCAAACTGGAGGAGTGGCTAAAGCACATCCCAGGAAAAACTTCAGACTTGTCAGTCCAGAAAAGTGCAGTTCTAGGAACAGCTAAGACACTGCGCCATACCCTCA